AAAAAAAATTTGTGATCAAAAAAAATTTGGAAAAAAAAAATTTGGGAAAAAAAATTGGGAAAAAAAAATTTGGTCGATATTCCGATATTCCGATATTAATACGAAGTCCGGATAAACCGAAGTCCCTGATAATGCGAAAAAAATTTTGGGACAAAAATTTTTGGTCAAAAAAATTTTGGAGAAAAAAAATTTTGGGGAAAAAAATTTTTTCGGAAAAAAAATTTTGGAGAAAAACATTTTTTGGGAAAAAAAATTGGGAAAAAAAATTTTGGTCAAAAAAATTTTGGGCAACAAAATTTTGGAAAAAAAATTTGGGGAAAAAAATTTTTTCGGAAAAAAAATTTTGGAGAAAAACATTTTTTGGGAAAAAAATTTGGGAAAAAAAATTTTGGTCAAAAAAATTTGGAAAAAAAAATTTTGCTCCAAAAAATTTTGGGAAAAGAAATTTTGGTCAAAAAAAAATTGGGAAAAAAAATTTTGGTCAAAAAAAATTTGGAATAAAAAATTTTGGAAAAAAAATTTGTGGACAAAAAAATTTTGAAAAAAAAAAATTTTTGGGAAAAAATATTTTTGTGAAAAAAATTTTGGGAAAAAAATTTTGGAAAAAAAATTTTGCTCCAAAAAATTTTGGGGAAAAAATTTTGGGAAAAAAATTTTTGGTCAAAAAAATTTTGGGCAACAAAAATTTGGAAAAAAAAATTTGGAAAAAAAAACTTTGGAAAAAAAAATTTTGGGAAAAGAAATTTTGGTCAAAAAAACATTTGGGAAAAAAAAATTTGGTCAAAAAAAATTTGGAATAAAAAATTTTGGGAAAAAAATTTGTGGACAAAAAAATGTTGAAAAATAAAAAGTTTTTGGGAAAAAATTTTTTTGTGAAAAAAATTTTGGGAAAAAAATTTTTGGTCAAAAAAATTTTGGGAAAAAAATTTTTGGTCAAAAAAATTTTGGAAAAAAATTTTTGCTCCAAAAAATTTTGGGGAAAAAAATTTGGGAAAAAAATTTTTGGTCAAAAAAATTTTGGGCAACAAAATTTTGGAAAAAAAATTTTGGGAAAAAATTTTTTTGGGGAAAAAAATTTTGGAGAAAAACATTTTTTGGGAAAAAAATTTTTGGTCAAAAAAATTTGGAAAAAAAAATTTTTGCTCCAAAAAATTTTGGAAAAAAAAATTTTGGGAAAAGAAATTTTGGTCAAAAAAAAAATTCGGGAAAAAAAATTTTGGTCAAAAAAAATTTGGAATAAAAAATTTTGGGAAAAAAATTTGTGGACAAAAAAATTTGGGAAAAAAATTTTTTGGTCAAAAAAATTTTGGAGAAAAAAAAATTTGGGAAGAAACTTTTTTGGAAAAAAAATTTGGAAAAAAAAATTTTGGTCAAAAAAAATTTGGGAAAAAAAATTTTGGTCAAAAAAATTTTGAAAAAAAAAATTTTGGAAAAAAAAATTTTGGAAAAAAAAATTTTTGATCAAACTCAAAAAATTTTGGAGAAAAAAAATTTGGGTAAAAAATTTTGGGTCGATATTCCGATATTATTCCGATATTTCGATATTCCGTTATTCCGATATTCAGATATTCAGATATTCCGATATTCCGATAATCCGAAGACCGGATAAACCAAAGTCCTGATAATGCGAAAAAAATTTGGGAAAAAAATTTTGGGAAAAAAAATTTTGGTCAAAAAAATTTTGGAAAAAAAAATTTCGGGAAAAAAAATTTTTGGTCATAAAAATTTTGGTCAAAAAAATTTTTGGTCAAAAAAATTTTGGAGAAAAAAATTTTTTGGAAAAAAAATTTTTGGTCAAAAAAAATTTGGGAAAACAAAATTTTGGAAAAAAAAATTTTGAGAAAAAATTTTTGGTCAAAAAAATTTTGGAAAAAAAAATTTTTAGGAAAAAAATTTTTTAGAAAAAAAATTGCGGAAAAAAATTTTGGAAAAAAAAATTTGGGAAAAAATTTTGCTTGCTTTCTTCACACATTTAAGAGGGTAGTCTACTGTAGACGCATGAATTTAGCCCGGTTTTTGAAGCGCTGTATAAAGGAAACCAATAATATTTTTACCATAGATTTTTTTATCATTTGCTTATTGATATTTTATTATTACATAAAAAATTATTAAAACAAAAAAATTAAAATTCACAAAGTTATGAGCAGTCAATGTGGGGGCTTAAAAAAAGAGGGCGTCCTGGCGTGCATGATTCCAACCCTCCTGGAGATCCGAAACATAAAATAGATGGATTCTTAATTATTATAGATGCCGCTATCGTATGACCCTTGGGTAAGTTAAAAAAAAAATTGTTTGAATGGCGGCAGTTTGAAAAAATTTTTTTTTATGTTTTTTTTAACAATTCCGAGTTTTTTAAAAATACTAAATGAAAAGTTATAGTTTTGGGCAAGGTCCATGCGATAAAACGATGTACAGAGAAGATCCTCTCCAAATTTGAAGTGAATCGGTTCATTAGATATATCCTTACCGCCAGCTCGAAAAAAGTAGTTCCGAGAAAAACGCGTTCAAAGTTTTGAGACTCGGTCGGACCCGAACCGAGGCCACGTCACTAAAACGGCTATAACTCAGGATATAATAGTAATTTTTAAAAAATCCTTTAAATGACATATTTTTGAATACCTAAACTTTGAAAATATGAAAAAATTTTTTTTTCTTTTTTTTTCAAAATTCTACAGTAGAATACCCCCTTAATCTGTCTTTCTCTTACTCTCGCTCTCTTCCTCTTGCACGCCGCCTTTTTACCTTCTCCACTCCATTTCTCTCATCTAACATCGTACTCGAGAGTGCTTCGAGGACTCGCACACTGACCCTCCATGTGACGTGGCCGTCGCGCAACCCCATCGTGCTACCAATTACGCCAGCACAGGCCACATGAATTGTTCGGGGTTCATTAGGGGATGACGGCCATACCTTTCCTCTCGATCGAGTTTGAGGAAGCATACCTGGTGTTCTAAATTCGACCCGATGTGATTCCGTGCATGCTTCGTAAAGTGTCCGCTTGTTCTTCACGCTTAGCGGGCTGTTGTGGTTCAAGAGAGGTCTCAGTAGATTTATCATCCCGAAAGCCTGTCCAATTTCGTATTGGCAAACAAGCGCAAATAAATAGCTGTTTATGTTTGGCGCTATCTTGTTATGTTTAATAATAACTGGCAGAATGACTAGATTTCATCGTGTATAAGGTTGTTTGTGTGGCGTAAAAATCCGTGGGTTGATATATTTGAACATTTCATAAAAATTAAACCGCAAAAACTTTGTTTAACATTCCGTGGATAGATATCTTTGAATGTATTTGTGGACAATGTGGATGTTTTGACATGTTTTGATTTCATATCATGTTCATGACTTTTTGGCATATAACATTGAAAGGAAAAATGTGTATGTTTTTGACACGCCTGAAAATTAAATGAGCTGATACTTGATACTTAAATGCATATACTCAATGCATTTAATAATCTACTTTTACTTACAACTACTTTCCTTTAAGGTACTAAACCTCATAATGCAATGCTTATATTGATAAAATATTTTATTAACAAGTAAATAACAAAAAAGAAATTATATTAAAAATGTTAAATTAATAAAAATGCAGTGCTTTGTTTTTCATACTTTATATTTAATACTTTGTGTGATTTTACTATATTGCACATATTTAAGATCAAAAAATGTTTTTACATGAAATACATAACAATTTTTTTTATTTTTCTAGAACATGATGAAAATTTATTTTTGTCACGACGTTGTGTAGTACATTATTAAATATATAAGGTAATATTATATTTCTAATCACATATATTAATTCAGTTTAATGCATTGCTTAAATGCAGTTATTTTATAATAATATTCTTGTATGATAGAAGATTTTATTTCTCAACTTCAAGCTGATTTATTAGCTACATAGCGTTATATATTTACAAAAGATATTTATGTTTGTACAAGTAAAATTATATATTCACATATTTATGCATTTCTGACATATATGTAATATAGAAATTTTAATAATCAATAATTAAACTTATGATTTCGAATTTTTTTTCTGGCTAAACTAAGAAACTTAAAACAATTATAAGTAAAATAATATTTATTTATTATCTAAATAATCAGAATTAAGCTAATGAATGATAAAAACTTAGCTACATAATTAATAATTGAATCTACAAGAATTTCATCTTTTTTAGATAGAATCATACTAATAATAAAGTCATATATACTTATAACTTTATTCGTTATGCTTATTGTTTCATTTTTGATAACTTTCAGAAAATCATTTTTATTTGACAACTAACATACGTTAGTAATCTCTATTTTTAATTATGGACACTTAGAAATACATTAAGTTAATGCATTATATATATATATATTTTTATCCTAGTTTTATTTACAAGTTTCTCCATAAAAGGTAATATTTACACGATACATAAATTTACATATTGTGCTTAAAATAGCTTGAGTTTACCAAGGATTTAATTTTATAAAGAACTACTATTGGAATTTAAAATTAAGATTTCAACTGTATGATTTAAGAGATATTATTATCAACTCTGCCACATTTTTGTGTTCAGCCATTTTTTGAAGCTAATTCGAATTTAAGATATTAAGTTTTATAATCAATAATAATACCTAACAGGATGCCGTGTAATAACGTGTAAGAACATATAAATATTTTTTATTATTCTAATTTTGGAGATTTTTATTAGTTAAATGCTTTTGAGTTCAATGTTATAGATAATACCATGATCTATATGATCCCATTTCCAAATACTTTATCATTACGATACATTTATCATCAATTTTTCTAATTTCATAAATGTACTATTTACACAAATATCTTTCTTAAAACTATTTAAATTAACTTATGTCTATTATATATTAATTATAAAAAATAATCGTGTGTAAAAAAACTGTTATTTATAGACAAAAGAAAACTTAGTATCGTACATATGTTTGAATTCATATATATTAGATAATATTAAATATACAATTTTATCTTCAAACGAATTATAGTATTAATCGCAGTACTTACCAAAAATGTAATTAGTGATTATATTAGTTTAAAGCAAAATTGTACTTGAAAATGTTATTAATTTTACCGCCAAAATAATATAGCTGCCATTGTAGCATAAAGCACAGCCCAGTGAGAAACTAGAGCATCTCCATTTGAAGTCTTTCTTCGAAGAATTGCAGCCATTTTATCACCTATTGAATTTAACACATATAACAATTAATGATTTTATTTTAGGTCTTATTCTAATAATTATGTTTGATGATAACTAATAATCAGAGAAAAGTTGATATTAGGATAAATTCTATATAGCTTTTCAGTAGTAGGTACGACTACTACTAGTAGTAGGGCGCACGGATCAACCGATTTGAATGGTTAAAAAAACATTCGATTCCTATTGATAGGGAGACGCGTTGATTAGTTTTTGACAAAGACAGATCCAGCCATTACGGTGCAGAAAATGGAAATGGAAATTTTGAAAGAACGGAGCATCCGAATCGAATGATATAAAAATTATTTAATTTGTAATGATTGGGAGAAGTGATTAGTTTTTGACAGAGGCAGGTCCGGCCATTTTGAAGATACTGAGCTACTAATGACAGTTTTTGATAGAACTAAGCATCTGATTTGAAGAAATCGAAAAACTTTTTGCTTGTGTGGCGAAACAATTGCTTTTGGATTTTTTTATTTCAAAATTTAATTTATTTTGTATATCGAAAATAAGTTAGATTTCACTTATAAACTTTAAACAAATAATTTGAACTTTGCAATTCAGTTTATAAATTCTTATAAATATTAGGCAATGTTACCGTATTTATAATAATCTATTTAAAAACATTTAATATTCCTCGAACATTTTGTTACGATAAGAAAGCATTACCAATTTGTCCTAAGGCAAGATGACATACATTACTAGTTTAATTTTTCTCCGGAAAATTTAAAATATTACTTTCAAGTTTAATACATAGTGTGTTTTTTAACTTACCGTAGGGTAAGTTATCGTAATGGGCCGATAATCGAAATTGAAAATTTTTACATTTCTCGACGTTTTGAAGGTTTCTGAACATTCTGGCAAACCTCAGAAAAAATGGTTGTTATGTGTTTATTTATATATGGAAACAATTTTTTGTCTACGTTTTCGGGTGCACGGATTAACCGATTTGAATGGTTCAAACAACAGGGAGATGTGCTGATTAGTTTTTGGCAAAGGCAGGTCCAGCCGTTACGGAGATACGGAGCAATGAGTGCAGAAAATAGAAATCGAGTTTTTGAGTCAACGGAGCATCCGATTTGAATGATCTAAAAAAATTCAATTAATAATGATTGGGAAAAGTGTTTATTAGTTTTTGGCAATGGAAGGCCCAGCCATTTCGAAGATACAGAGCTAAATGTGCAAAAAATGGCAGTTTTTGAGAGAACTAAACGCCCAATTTAAATGATTCAAATAACTTTCAGCTTGTTTTAACAAAATAATTGACTTTGGAAAAAAAAATTGTATCATTTTTTTTTAGTTTTTTTTGTATATCGAAAATAATTCAGATTTTATTTTTAATTCTCACTAAAGTTCCAATATACTTTAAACAAATAAATTTAACTTTTCAATTCAGTTTATATAATTCTTATAAATGTTAGACAATGTTACAATATTTTTAATAATCTATTTGAAAATATTCAGTATTTCTCGAACATTTCGTTACGGTACGGGTAGTTCCAGCAATTTACATTAAGGCACGATGCCATGCGCCCTACTAGTTTTGAATTTTTTGTTACCTTCTGAAACAAAGACCATAATGCTAGCAGGCTCTGTGTTACTGGCAGCGCATGTATAGTTGCCTGAATCGGCGTCCACAGTATCTCTTATTGTTAGACGAGACTGAGTTCTCGGACCAGGATCAGTCTCCACCGTGATACCTCCTCGGGAAGTATCGTAGTTGATCATTCGCTGATTATGGTACCAGAACACATATTGAGGTGGTGTGGGACTCTACAATTACACATTAATAATATAAACAATTTATAATGCAATTTTTAATACTAGAATTTTTCTGGTATGAAGTTAATGAAGGATATATAAATGCTATGTCATCAGTTCATATTTATAGTTTCTATACCAATCCACATATTTTATAATTACCTAGTTATATTAATTTTTATACTATTTTTAGATCCACTGATGATGACATTAAATGAAATGTCGAAACGTTTGTAATTAAAGTTTATTTTATAAATCTTAGCCTTTTCTTTGTTTAATGTATCGTCCTCAAGAATTCACTCATATATTTCAACATCAATATTAACTATATTATATATATATATATATATATATATATATATATATAGAAAGAGAAAATTTAGGTTTTATATCAATAAATTATTAATATGATATATTGTTAATATTATTTTTATCAATTACGAACCTTCTCAATAATGCATACGAGGCTTATTATACTTCCCACGTCAACGTGGTGCTCTCCTGATCCCAAAATGAAAGCTTCCGGAACTACTATTTGTAAATTTGCGAAATGTGATACAACACCATAGCTAGTTGCAACCTAGAAAAAAAAATTAAAGGCTTCGAACATAACAGGAAATATTCATACTTTTCAAATTTCATAAATCATAAATTGATATATTTTGTTAAAGCATATACCCATTTACAATTTGTTTAATTCTAAAAATAATTGGAATTTGGAAAAAAATTAACAATATAGTTTTTAGTAGTAATAAAAAGATTTTGAAACCGATTAAGAAGGTTGTTTGGTTTTTATTTTTTTGTTTCGATTTTGAGATTTTTCGATATTATAAAAGCTAAAAACCTTATAATTATTTAAAAAAAAAATCAGCTCAATATCTATTTTTTGACGAAGTTATAATTATATATATCTCTATATGTATGATCCTCTGAAACCGTTGTATGCCAGCTGCTTTTTTTTCATTAAAATACCTCATGCACGTGACCATTTTAATGTGTCAGAATTCTTTGAACACCATGGTATATTTAGTACATTAAATTATATGGTGTATTTAGTACATTACATTAAAAACTTTAAATACGTTTATCTCAAATTGACTTTGTTCAATGCGGTGCTACAAATTGAGAAAAAACTACATGTCGGATCGACTTGCATTTTTTTTAATTTGTTCACCACTGCATTACCTAGTCCCCCTACCTGATACAACTTGATAACATTACGCAAAATTTTTTTGCGAGGCTTCTCGCAGGCCCCAGAAAAAGGCCTTTTTTAACCCTTTTTTTAAATAGCTACCAATTTTTTCCTTCTTGCCTTTTTTCTTTTATTTTGGTAGGGGGACTGGATTCAAACTTCTTCTTCAACGCAGTTTCTTTTTTTGTTTCAGGCGATGCGCAACGGATTTATCTGTGACACCGCAAAAGAGATCGATTTTACAAGGCCGCCTTTGGCGCTCTCTGGTTAAAAAATGACGGCGAAAAAAAAAGAAAATTTCGTAATATTCTATGATTTTGTAATTTTTTTTTAAAACAAACCGCATGTCTCTATGATATATACATTTCGAGAAAAACAAAAACAAATACCTTGCATTTTTTGTAAAAAATAACCGAATAAACCCCTTAAATTTTTGGAAAGATAGGTCCAGTGGTCACAAAACCTCAATGAAAAAGAAAAAGGAAATGCCATTGGGCGGTCAAAAATGATCATTAAACATATGCACATCAAGTTATCAAATATTGCATAGAGACTTTAATGAAAAGTACAGATATTTAATAATACGAAAAAAATATAATCTAATAATATACGATCTTTTTTACCTGGCATTCATATGTGCCATTATCACGACGCTGTACATATTTGATCTGAAGCGTCCACAAATCGCTGCCTTCCGCATGCAATATACCAAAACGCTCATCATTTGTATAGGTTTGAGCTCCGGAGGATAAAATGTGCCAGTCTCTTCTTCGTACCCAGGCTATTTGCTACAGATTTAAATAAAATCATTATCACCGATTCATAAAAAGATATATCTATATAAAGATTTACGAAAAACTCACTCCTCGCTCGCCCACATTTCGTACATGGCAGTGTAAAAACGCGGTAGCTCCCAATTGTACTGTTACATTGTGAGCTGTATAGTTTTCAGGTGTGTACACCTAAAAAAACAATTATTAGGACATTTATTATTAACATGTTTTATGAATCCACTAGATGAAATAATGAGACAGATTACCAATAAGCATGAATTATCATCTTTTTGGGTGTAATTTTATTTCTTTTTCATTTACCTGAGGTCTCATCATTGCAGTCGGTTGACCACCTGCGTGATCATGTTCATCTGGATAAGATCCTATAATTAGTCCACCATTATTGCCTGAGTGTCCATCAAGGTTTTGTGCTGTTTTGTGATCGTTATTTTGATCAGTTCCATACCACAAAGATTTCCAATCCGACACCGTTTCTGACTGAACTTCTCGTCGGGCTAAAAAGATAATATTTATAAATAATTGAATAATAATTGAATTTTATTATTGTTTACTATGATTAGAAACCTATTCTTTCAAAATTATTTGAGTATCAATTTATAATAATTTACTCTCAAATCCAACCATTACATGACAAAAATACTCCATTGATTTTAGAAACATTATACAAAATTCATTTTCTGCAAATATTGAAACTTGAACTTTTTAAAATTTGGTTATTAAATAATTATAATTTATGTGTATTTTATTGTCTTGTATTGGTGTTTTAAAAAATTGATATTCTTTGTTATTTTCTCGATATTCAGAATTGTTCTTAAGCATTTATAAAAATATTATAAAACCCTTTAATATTATTTTAATATTTAATATTTATTGGTATTCTTTACCGTATAAAAATATTAAATAATATTCTTTATGTCCAAAATAAATTATAATAATTGAGAGACAAGATTGATTATAAACTGTTTCTAAATATTTTTGAACATTTGGATATAAAATAATTTGAACATTAGTTAATGGTAAAAATTTGATTTTTTTAATTAATTTTAATTATTTTTCATATTTAATAACATTTAAAATATTGAAATAATAACCATACGTTAAAAACAGTTTAGACACAGAGTTACTGGTGCAATAAAGTCCAAGATATGTTATTACTTATTTTAAAAATGTATATTTAAATTAAAAATGAAATTTTTTATAGTATATAACCATCAAAGTCTATAGGCTTTACAAAAATCTACTCAATAATATTTGCAAATTTTGACTTCACTAGATATCTTAATGTATGTATGGTAAACGAGTACCTTTAACAAAAAATTAGTTATATGAATTTATATACATATCAATATTGTAGAAAAACTTGATGCAAAGTATCTAGTCCCGCGTAATTAAATATATCAAAAAAAAAAACAGTTTTTTTACGCAGTATACCTGTTCACCAAGTTAGCTGTCCACCAATTTACCTGTCTATCAATTTACATATTAACCTGTTTATCAATCCGTCATTTTACCTGTCGTCGCGTTCTTCATGTCTACCAATTTACCTATAAACCTGTTCTACATATTTGTCTATCTACCAGTTGTCCTATGTAGCATTTCATATATCCTTGAATTTACCTGTTCACCAGTTTACATATATTTACCAATTTACCTGTCTATCTTTTCACCTAAGTATGTATCTACTTGTTGAATTATTTATCTGTTAACCCAGTTTACGTGATCTACCAATTACCAATTAATGAAAAAAGATATAATTACTATAATAGTTCTTACATAATAGGGGTTTGTGGTAGGATGTTGAAAATTTAGCATTAGATGTGTTTTTTATGTAAAAAAATAAAAAAAAAGTTACAAAAGTCTTCGGGGCGGCTAACCTCTACTTGGCTTCAATCCAAGTATCCGACACATAGACATATATATATATATATATATATATATATATATACATATGTTTATGTTATTAAAATAATGAAAGGCATCCTCATTATTTGCGGATTTGTCCACAACAGTAAAGCAATATTAGTTAAATTCTGTAATGACAATATAATATTGCACGGACAAAATTTCGCGAGTCCAGGGACATTTTGGTTAACATGGTATGCTCGAAGGCTCTACATTACGCCCTGTCACCATTTATCATATCATATTGTTGCCGAGGTATGAGGTTAGTATACTTGTCAAATAAATAACCAACGCCGAGCAATGCGGCCGACTACTATTGTAGTGCAACTAAGCGCAATGTAAAGATACTCTGTTTTACTCGAACCGTTTTCGATTTATATAGATGATTTCAGTCGAAAACCTATTTCCCCGTCTCCTGAAAAGTTCAATTTTATTGTCCGATATGTGAAATTATTCCTTGAATGGACATTTATTATCTGCCAGTATACGAAACCAGATGTAATAGAACTATTGTGACTTATAAATTTTATATTTTATACGTAACAATTATTTATGAACTTATTTCTTTATGGCATGGACGACAGAATAGCACCAAAAGTACTTCAAAATAAAATTTTAATGATGGATAATATAAAACAGTAACAATTTAAGTTATAGCACTAAACATGAGTGTATACCTACTGATAATGAATATAGATTTATTAATTATTTCATTCAATAATGTATTATACATATCAGTTCCTCTATTAATTGAGATATAATTAGATGAAATTTGTCACATTTGTATTACAGGTAAGCGTAATGCTTAGGAATAATATACTGGAGAAATATTTATTTCAAATTATTGTTGGCGGATAAAAAAAAAACTCTTAGTATATTTACTTGGAAATTTATTTATATGCTAAAAAAAATTTATATTCCATTAAGAACAAGATTAAATTATTGTTTAATAATAATAATATTCTTTAAATTTAGAAGTTTTTAAAAATTAAAACAGTTTTTTTTTTGCAAATTTTATTTTCATTTTTTTTTCAAAATTTGTGAACCATAAATTCAACAAATTTTTATAGATTCTTGAATTTCATTGTAGGTTTGGAAATATTTGGACTACTTGATGATGTTCATGGACTTGATAAGTTATCGGTCCATGGATACATCGATAGATGGCGACTTGATAAGTTATCTTTTTTTACAATTTATAACTATTGCTGTGTAGTATTCCCTGGACAATTTTTTTAAAATGTTTTTCTCAAACAAAATTTTTCTTACAAATTTTCCATTTTTTTCAAAAATTTTCTATAATAATTTTTTCTAAAATTTTTTTTCAAGATATTTTTTCAAATCTCATTGATTATTGTTCATGAAAATTCCAAGAATTTTTTTCCATTATGTGCCTCTGACCATTAGACTACAAATAGTCTATGATATTGTTTTTAAATTAGAAAAAAATCTAACATTTTTGCTGTTTAAATTTACAACACGCTATTGTAAAATGAATTATGACATACTTCATTATGAAACATTAGCAAGTTTTCATTTAAATTTAAATTCTTATATTTAAATAGTGCAAATAAAATCGTTAATTGCAGTATTTGAACTACAATATTAACGTTCAATTATTTCACAAAAAGATCAATCAATTGAACGAAAAGCTATGATCAAATTAATTTGTAAACATTACAAAATTTTTAAAATTCAAACGTTTCTCAAATTAAAATCACTTTTTGATTGCACACATATGTAATAACAATAACAAAGTATAATGAATTTTAATCGTTATTCACAATAATCAAATTACATCTTCGAAACTTATACATATGTCAACGATTTAAAAATATTTTTATTTTCACAAGTTCATCAACCTATATAATAAAAGAATTAAATTTTAGAACGCTAAAAAAATTGTAAAATACCACAAAGTCCTTTTAAATATTTTCAAAAAGTATTTCAGGCCTAAATACACAAACAGTATTAAAAAAAATCATTATCTGCGTCTTGTGCATTTGTTTCGACGTTGATATAAAGAATTAATTGCAGTTTATAAGTAATATAAACTATATCATGCTATAATTTTGTATAATATAAAAAATCCTGTATGAAATATTTTTGATTTCTGATTGCATATAGATATAACAATATTGTATAACATTATTGAAACAATTTGCTACACTTCAGTAGTTCTTTGTTTTTGTTTCTACCTATTATATTGCAGGAATTATTTTTCCTTCTGGAGTTCAGCGCTATATACAAATCTTTCATAAATAATCTCCAACAAGGAATTTGTCCTTAAAAGAGAAGTAAGGACTCCATAGTATATATCTAAACGATAAGGGGACTGACTTATCATTAAGATAACTATTTTGTCCCATAAGAACGCTCGAAATAACCTTCTCCTTACTACGGCAGAGCTTTCAGTTAGGTCCTTTTAATACAGCTCCATATCATTCCGCAACATAAAGTTTTTCCTACGAGATCATTCTTAATATTGATATATTCGCATTGAATAAAACAATAACTAGCTGCCCTGGACATGATAAAAAATAGAAAGTTATGACCCTTATAGACGTTATGTTGGGGCATTAAGATACCTCTATAAATTTTACCGATAATGTTTCTTTTGATATATCGCAATGGTGATTTTAATAGCTTATTACCTTATGATGTTCTGAGAATTGAGCTTTGAACATTTTATATTTAGCATAATTTTTCTGAGTTGGGCTTTTCAGTATGATACGCGATAAACAATTTAGATGGGAGCATGTAGCAAGCTTATTTTATCTATAATGAAAATCTGTATCCATAAATAAACCTATAGATAAACTAAAACGTTGAATTATGTTAATGGTGATTTTAGATGCTTGTGCATTTTTGCTGAAAAATTAAAAATTTAAGCGAAATCATGAAATCAAGTAAACAATACTAACATTTAACTAGTGGGGTGTACCGCATCGTGCCTTAAGGCAAATTACTGGAACTTCCCGTACCGTAACGGAATGTTCGAAGAATACTGAATGTTTTTAAATAGATTATTATTAATATTGTAACATTGTCTAATATTTAGAAGAATTATATAAACTGAATTGCGTGACTGGAAATTTGTATCCATACATACATACACACACACACATCCATTTTTTTCTGAGGTATGCCAAAATGTTCAGAAACCTTCAAAACGTCGAGAAATGTAAAAATTTTAAATTTCGATTTTCGGCCCATTACAATAACTTACCCTGCGGGAAGTTAAAAAAGGGTAATAATCATAATTATCAAGATACATTTTACAAAAAGTGCAAAAATATGGTTCCAGAAAGTACGTTGGTAATTTTATTATAGTTGGTAAAATTTAAAAGCGTAAGATGAAAATCTTCAAACAATCAAAAAAGTTATTTTTACGAAATAATCGTTCGAGACGTTTCTTCAAAACTAGCAGAAAGTGCAAAATTTTTTGTCCACATTTTAAAAATCGTGAAAATTCTGTTGGCAGTTTTTATTATGATGGGGTTCATTGTGCAATCAAACATCCTAACATATAAGTCTTACAAAAAGTGATTTAATTATTTAAAAAAAACTGTAATGTTTGGGATAATTACCC